GCTGTTGCAGGCTGTGGGTGCTCCTCAGGCACAGCTCCACACATCCCTGGGGCTGGAGCTCTGGCTGAGGGCAGGGCTGCCTGCTGGGATGCCATTCCTTGTTTCACTTTGCAGGCTCTCAGAGGGATGGATTCCTGGCCACTCTGAAGACAACCCCTGCGAGATATCCTTCTGCTGCCAGCTCGGGGTGCCCAGCACCACTAACACTAACACAGAGGGGCCAGGAGCTCTTTGCAGGTCACCCTGATGTGCTTTCCCCAAATCARTTTAGTCCCCTGGCTAAAGGGTGGGTGACAAAGCTGTTTCCCAGTTTACAATTTTAGGTGGAAAGGGAAGAGCTGAAGCAGGCAGTGCTTTGGTGGGTCCCTGCAAACCAGCTCAGGGGGTGGGAAGCTTGCCCAGACCTCCCCAAACATTGCTCTGCCTCTCCTTGCAGGATGSTTTTGTTCCTTGAGACTTCCTTGACTTTTGTTTCACTGTGCTGGAGCTGGTGATTTGTTTTTTCTCAGTCTGGTCTATTTTGGGCCTCTCAGGTTTTCACACGTATTTAGTCGCCTCCAACCTGACCACGAAYGAAGATGTAAGTACCTGGGTGCCTGTCCTTGTGCCAGGCTGCCCCTGACCCATCCTGAGCARGTTTTAGGGAATGTTTGGCTGCCTCAGTGCAGAGTTTCAGCTCCTGTGATAACCCAGGCAGAGCAAACTGTGCCCACGGCTGCGCTTTCAKGTGGCTGAGTTAGAACCATCACGTGTGTGTTTTTTCCAGTCTGTTGGTGGCCTTGCTTAAAATTAGGAGTTCTGAGATTAAAAAAAAGGAAGGCTGGCCCCAGAGGTTTGGGTGTGAGCTCGGTGTTCTGAATTCAGCATCCCGTGTAACCACGGGTTTCCTCTGCCACCCTGGGCCAGTCCCTTTGTGTCTGGCAGTTCCTCATCTCTAATTAGCAAATGATGTACAGACATCTAATGAGATTTACCTTCAAATCTGGGGTGTGCACAGACTGCAAGGACTGAATGGGGCAGATTGTATGGAAAATCAGGATCTGTCTGATCCTTGGAATCAAAATTCACCCTTCTGGCCAGACGTACCTGTAATCCTTGCTGGCAGCTTCCAGCACTGCACCAGGCGTGTTTGCATCCCTTTTTTTTTGCTTTTTCCCCTTTCCCCTCCACCTTACACTCAGAGCTGTGTAAGTAAAGCTCAGTTTGTACCCCTGTGCTGGGAGCACTGGTGGCCCGTTGGCTCTGTGGGCAGGTTGCCCATGGCTCCGGCCTTATCCTGCAGCTGGGAAGTGGATGAAGAGGAGATGTGCTGGTGAATGTTCTGGTGGATGTTCTGGTGAATGTTCTGGTGAATGTTCTGGTGAATGTGCTGGTGAATGT